CCGCCAAACTGAAAAGCAGCCTTTACATCGCCGCCTCCTGCCGCCGCAGTCGCCTCGCAGACGGAGGGGGTGCAGCAGCCGCAGAGCAGGGCGAGGAGCGCCACGGCGCACACCGCACGGCGCCGCACCGTCAGCATCGTCGCCTTCGGTCGCAGTAGTAGTGGCAGCAGAGTTTCAGAGCTGCGAGGCGGTGGAGAGGGCGAAGGGAGAGAAAGAAGGAAACAAATAGAGGGCAGCGGAGACAGAACAGACGGAAAAAAATAAAAAGGCAGCAACGGCAGACCTCCCAGCGGTGCGGCTCCCCTCAACCAGAGGCGGGGGCGGTGCGGGCGGGTAGCCTGTTTGCCTTTTTTTTAAAAGTTCCCCAACAAAAAAAAAAGGAGTTAAGCCCGTGACGCAGGCGCCTTGTGGCACCCGGCCCCCAATCCCACCTCTGAGGCCGTCCAAGCGCATTTGCACAACCGCGTCCGGCGGCTGTGGTGCCAGGCTCTGCACTGAGACGCCCAAAAGACACTCACCCAAGACGGCGCCGGTGCTGCGGCACGTGTCCTCCACAGACTTGGCAGCTGCGAGGCGCATGGACGGCAGCTGTGCGTGGCCAAACGGCCGGGGGGCTCGCGGAGAGGAGGGGCCCAAGCCCACAGAGCGTTTGACGTCAGCCGGCCCTGTTGCCGCCGCATCCGTCGTGATGGACCCCCGAAGCAAAAACAAAACCAAAAAGGCGTATAGGGCAGGCGGTCTCACAAAACGGTGCACATTACCCGCAGGGACGGATGCATCTGCCTCATCTCCCACTGGACGTCCGCAGGCACAAACATCGCTTACATTTCATTGGGACCTTCACCGCCCCGCTGCTGCTCCCCCCGCCGAAACACACACGCACACACACACTGTTTACCCTCACCGCAAACAACTCCGAAGCCTGCAGCCCCGCAAGGGGGATTTTACCCCCAATTGCCCCGCCGCCCCTGCAAAAAAATATATATCAAAACAAAAAAGCCCCGCCGAATAAAGCGAGGCGGCCCCCACCCGCACGCACTCCTTCAGCCGGAAAAGGAGGAGGAGGAGGAGGAGGGCGGCGTCAACGTGCCCACTGTTCCAGGCAGCTCGCCCGGTGCCTGCAGCCCAAACAACGCACGAAGCAGGCGCACACACGCCCAGGAAAGCAACTCGTCAAGAGACAGAAGCGTCAAACATCGTTTGCCCGAGGCCCTCAGAGTCGAATTCGGCTGCACCCACTGCGGCGGCACACCAGCCAGAACGACGCCATGCACACGAAAAAGCGAGGGAAACATTACACCAACGCGGAAAATAATAAAAAAAGAACAGCAGAAATGCGTTTTTGTCACCACGACTTCCGGGCAGTGCTGGGCACCAGCCCATTGCCGTCATTGCTGGTCATCTCACTCAGCCCGCAAAAGCACGCCCTGTTTTGCCCAAACTCTCCCTCCCTACACACACAGCGATAAACTACGAACAAAAGACATTTTCAGTTGTGGTTGCTGTTGGCACACATCCAATCCACAGGCTGCAACTATTCCTGCTGCAATCTCCCACACACACAAACGAAAAGAAGTTGCCACTGTGTTCTCACTGGCCACAATGCGCCTTCAGCGCACGGCAGGCTACTTCCCCAATTACTGCCCGCACTATTCACACACAAATAAGCAGCGATGCAAAAAATAAAATACTCCCCCAAAATGCATTTTAGCACGAAAGGAAGACTGCTGTTGGTTATTATTATTGTTGTTATTTAGTTGGTTGCCCCTCTCCGGCTGCTGCTCGCTTTGGTCGGCTTTTTCGAGGTACGAAATCCTCCTCGGATACCCTCACCTGGTACTGGTGTGCCTCTTCCTCCCGGGGGCTCGCAGTTTTCTCTTCCTCGTCTCCTTCCCGCCTCCGCTGCTCTTCTCTCCGGTCTTCGTTTTCTCCCGCGACGGCATCACGTTCCTCCCACGCGTTTGTCGGCGCACTCCCGCCATGCCGCACGTAAATAATCTCCCACGACAAGTCTGCGGCAAACGCTTCCCAGCCGTTGAAACACTGCGCCATGCATTCACTGAGCCGCCTCACGGTGCCGGGTTGGGAGTGATGCGAACCCCTCACAGTCGTCTGCAGCCCAACCGCCGTCTTCCGCGGCGCGTCCACGAAGAAAAAGGCGTCTACCAGCGGAAAGCCTCTTGCGCTCGGTACGTACAACGCCCCACACTCCACATCAACCTTTGGGGGATTCAATC